ACGCAGGAGCACCCCCTACTGGCCCGCCTCACGTGGTGGAAACAGCGGAGGGAGACGAATACCCAGCTGTGTTCCTGAGGTGGGATCTCTGCACCCGCCACAGCTCCCACCTGACTTGCTGGGACGTGCACATGCGTTGAAGCCAATTAGAGAATGGCGGACTGTCTAATTAACCACAGCGAGTCCCAAGCCTTCTGCTTGAGCAGGATTTATCGCACAATTTGAACCTTGTTCCCTGCCTCCCTTCCGAAGCCTTATGAATGACCTGGTTCTTCCCAGCCACAGCTGGGCTGCGAGCCCACGACAGCCGCCCTGCCCTGCCTGCTTCATTTCACGCACTGCGAGAGAGCTGATTTCTGAGGCCTTCGCTGTGCGATGTGGCACAGCGCTGTGCCTCCTGCAAGACCCATCCCGGCGTGAAGACCTCACCTGTTGCTCCCGTGGCTGGAGCTCTTGATCTTCCAGCATGCATTTACACCGGGAGGGCTTTCCCCCCAGCCACAGCTTGCCTGTCTGGGCCTTAGCACATCTCCTGTCTTTCTTGTTGCAATGGGAAAGCCCACGAGCCAGGGTGGAAACTCAACACCGCTAGTATCTCTGCCTAGGTCTTGTCTTTGCCCTGCCTGAAAAGTGCTCTCGGCTTCCCACCTGATCCCACCAAGCTGGGCGTCCAAGTCTCCTAGCGCTGCAGCGTCCACACGAGTCGCTCGTCTTGATCCAGAACACGGGCTGGACAGTCTGCATGCCGGATGGCGAATGAACACTGGCTATTTTGCAGGGGACACTGGGAGGGGTCAGCGTTACCCCTGCTGCTCTCTGTGCCAGTGCTGTAGCTCTGGGAACTGCAGCAAGAAGCCTGATGACAAACCTGGTTTAGCCCAGGACAATGCTGGCTTGAGCTGGGGGTTGGGCTAGACGTAACCCCCCCCCAGGGCCCGGCCAGCCCGACGGCTTTGTTTCTACCCTCGGAGGCCGAGGGAGGCTGGCTGCACCACACGGCAAGAGGCACATGGGAGCTGGCAAAGTTGGGCTGGAACGCGCGGACCTTTGGGTGAAAGCCCGTCTCCCAGCAGGCTGGATGCTGAAGACAAGAGCACGCATTGCACAGCAATCTCGCAAAACAGGGGAGCCGTGAAAACCTTGTGTGAGTCAGTAGCACCGGCAGACCAGAGTGACTCTGCTGCCTTTCCTGGGAGGGGAGGGGTGGGGGGGAAAGGTCCCATCCCCACAACCCCACGTATGGCATATGATGCAGTTCCCAGAGCTCCCGTCTGAGGCAGATCAGAGTCAATACAGGGAAAGCATTTGGGAACCTGTTTTGTATGAATTACCCTGCCCCCGGGGGGCAGCCGGACTCGGAGGGCAGCTGTGCCAGGGCGCCGGTGGGTCTGGACGTCCGAGACCACGGGCAGGCGGCTGTTGGAGTTCAGAGCTGGAGCGAAGGAGCGGACACACCTCCCCTCCAGGCACGGCCGGTGATTCAACCATCGCCACCTCACTTGAGCCTGTAAGCCTGCCACCGCCTCCTTCGCCCCCACCTTCCCTCCCCTCCGAGCCGGCACACGGGCAGAGGCACTCGGCGCTGGCCACTGGCTTTCCCGAGGGGCTCGATGCTGCTCCGTCCCGCCGCGCCGCGCTGTGCCGCGCCGCAGGAACAGGTGCAAAGCAGAGGAGATGACGCAGGGGCTGGGAGGGGAGGCCGTGTCCTGCACCCTCACCCTCAGCCATGGGGCAAGGGCAAGGGCAAGGGATGGACGTCAGGCCCCAGTGGTGTGTGGGGCTTTTTTTTCGCTGCATAAGCCCCCAGGAATTATTGATGGGAGGGGGAAGGAGGGTTCCAGCACCAGGTTTCTTTTTCAGGCATCCCCTGTCAACACCTAACAGCTGAGGGGGAAAACCCAGCCACCTCTAGAGCACAGCGGTCATGGGGAAAAGCCTGCCCTCCTCTCCCGGACCCCGGTTCAGGGGCCAGCAAGAGACTGCTTATCTGTACAGCAGTGTCTGTGCACCAGTTCCTCCCTACACCCCTTAGTCATATGGTTTCTTCCCCTGCGTGTGGGGCGAGGACCTATTACAAACACTGCTCTAAGTTCAAAAACAACAAAAAAAGTGGACTTAATTTTTTCCTGGAAGCAGCCTCGTTCTCCCCCCGCCCCCCCATGCCTTAAGTTTGCCTGATATCCACCCAGCCGAGGGGTGTGGGCTGTGCCTGCCTGTATAAAGGGCTAGCTAGGGAGGAGGGAGCTGATCTATTAGCTCCTTTACTCAGCTACAGTCACAGCCAGAGGAGACGAAGCAGAGTTAATAGGATTCCTGCCCAGGACACCATGGCTGAAGGTAAAACCGAAGCGGGGGATACGCTGCTGCTTTCCTTGCCAACTGCTCACGCCGTTTTCCTTGCCAGCTGCTTCATAAAGCTGTCCTAGAGGGAAAAAAGTTTTGCCAGGCGCGTAGAGTGGTGTGCCTGGCTACTAGCCTCCCTACGTGCGTCCGTGTGTGCAATGCAGTCCACTTGAAAAGTTAAAGGGAGCATTGCAGTGGGTTCAGCAAACCCGCCCCAGAGCAGCAAGCCGGCTCCTTTCCCTCCGCTGCACTTGTTGCTGTTTCTGGAACTTCATGTGACAGTCAGGTTATTAAAACTGAACTGTGAAGTCTTGATGCTAGTGCAGAGTGCTAGGAAATGAGAAAGATGAAAATCGGAGATTGCGAGGACCGGGAGACAGCTATATTTAAGTTAATGCTTTCCTAGACTTCAAGGGCAATAACCTTCTATTGTCATAATAACATGGCGCTGCGAAGAGCGACACGGTAAAACAACATCGCGAAGTGCAAGCTGCCTTTCGATGGCATGCCAGACGCACCCGCCATAAAAGTATTTGCTTAAAGTTTTGCTCTATTTTAAGGCGGTTATCTGAAGACTCCATAAAAAAATAAACCATCCCGGCTTCTAGAAATCCCCCTGGGACACAGAGGGCTTCTCCGAGATGTTTTTCCCAGGGAAAGGGAGACTTTTCTTTTCTAGGTCTTGAGAAATGAGGTTGCTTGTGTCCGAGCGAGCTGGGCATAACCCGCAGGGTGCAGAAACCAGCGGTGTGACCCATGCTATCGGGCTCAGTAAAATCCTCCAGTGCCTTGGGGCATCACACAGCCGCGCGCGCTCAGCAGCCGTGTCAAACCGGTGAGGAATGGTGCAAAAACACAGATCGGGTCAGTTCAGCCCCCCGCAACCTCAGCGGCAACAGCAGGGCTATTAAACGTATTCTGGAGATGAAATAAGAGGAAAGGGAGGCAAAAGAGAAGGGCTTTCTTAAAGAAAGCGGGTTCACTTTGCTGCCATGCTCCCCCAGAAGCAGCTAGAGCAGGGGAGCCGTGGCACGCGGGGGTGATGCGAGAGCCTTTGAAGGGCACGGCGGGGTGCTGCACGACATTACCACTGTCAGGTGTACAGCACCACGCGTGACTCCCACGAGAAACCCAGATTTCAAGCAGAGATCCACAGCGTCGCAAACATCCTGCCCGGTCGCGTCTCTCTGAGTCCTCTGCAACAGAAGAATTGCTTTAGCATTTTTCTGTCAATCAAAAAACAAGGGAAAGCTCAGAACTGGTGTTTTCGGAGGGGGCTTTGAGTCTGCAAAGGCTGAGGACCCCTGAGCTAGAAGGTTGTATTGCCAGCAGAGCAGTCCTCCAGCTCCCCTCACCCCTCGTGCCACAGGGCAGCTGGAGGACATGGGTAAGGAGGCCTGGGGATGCTCGGGTGCCTGGCTTGGAAGATCAGGGAGGAAGATTATCTGCTGATGCGAGGAGGCGTCGCTCCAGCCAGGTGGATGCGGCTGAGCTCACTGCTACCAACGGGGAGCGTTGCTCCGTGAGATGCCTGCAAGGGTCTCTCTGTGCGGTCCTAGGATGAGGAGGGAATGGGGCACCGAGGGGCTAAATGTCCCCCATCGTGGTAGCATCCAAGCATCTCCTCTGCATTTAAGAAAAGAAGAAATCATCACTAATGAGATCTCCCACCTCTCCGCCCAAACATGGGGCCGAGCTGGCTTCAGGCACAGGCAATCTGTGCCTCTGAAGTGCGAGTCTGAGCTCGGGCGCGTGGGGAAAGTTAAGCTGAAACACGGTTTCAGCCACGGCCACCTTTATCCCTTGTGGGACCACGTCCAGCTCGCCAAGGCACACAGCAAACAGCGGGGAAAAGGGAGCAGCACAGTTTCCCCAGATCTCTCCCACGACAGCGACGGCAGGCGCTGGTGATAACATCGGTGGGTAAAAGCCTGGCAGACACAAGTGCAGTTGCTGAACCAGTGTCCCCGCGAGGTGAAGGTTGTTTCAAACACGGGGCAGTCTGACGATAAGCGCTTTCAAAGCACCGCTCCCTGCACGTGCCAGAGGGACCGACAGAGAACGGTGGACATATCGCCCGAGGCATGTTGTTCTCATTACAGTCATCGAGCTGTGACCGGTCCGGGGTCCTGGGCCCCAGAGAGGCCGGCAGGAGTCAACACCCGCAGAGTTTCCAGTTTGCATTGCTTCAGAGACGGCCGCGGCCAAGGGTGGGGGGAAAACCCCAAGGGGAACAGAGTTTGCAGATCTCCTCGCTCACAAACACCTTATCTGCTTTGTCTCAAACTTCTTGGCCATGCAGCTGGGCAGGAGATCACACGGCAGCTCTGCTGTGGGGGAACTGGACGTCTCCTTGCAGAGCATGATGCTTTGGCCACGGTCCTGTGGCTTGGCCGGCCAAGGGATTGCTTTGCTTTGCCCTGAGCTGTGGATCCTTTGAGCTATCCCAGCTGTTGAGAAATGCTGGGTTTTCTCCTCTGTAGCCCATTGCTCCACCAGGTGAAAGCCAGGGACCTCTTTTGCTTCCTTCCTTGAGGGCAGGGAGCAGGGACGACTTTGTGGTGGCGGGTTTTGGCAGCCACGGGACAGGACGGAGGGGGTGAGAAGCCCGTGGCTCCCGGTGCAGCGTCACCAGTCCTTACAGCAGCTCTTGAAGGGGCTCCCCCGTGCCCTGGGCAGCCCTTGGACACCCTGCCCCAGGTGCCCTGCAGCCGAGAGAGGAAGCAACCGAGCGGCAGAGCCGAGGAGCCCAGCGAGGTGGCTGTCGCTGTGTAAATCCTGCCCTGTTGTCCATGCTCCATCAGCCTGGCGCTGAGTGAGCGATGTGTTCCCCTACATTAATACTTTCCCCTATTCCAGGAACTAATCTGTCTGACTGTGGTGCATTCAAGGGTCATCGGCCCTGAACAATGATGAATGAGAGTGTAGTGCCGGGGGCACCGTGCTAGAACAACAGGGACAGGGCTCTGCAATTACCTGGCTCGCCGAGTGCTCGCACGGCGCAGGCCCTGCTTCCATCAGTGTCAGACAGGAGCCGGCTGGCTCCGGGCCTGCATCCCACGTCCCTTCGTCAGCACGTCCAGGGAACGGCCGGCCTGCACGTAAGCCGTCCTGCCTGGTAGAGGAGCAGGGAAAGTCCTAGCAAAGAACTGGGGATTTCAAATGCACTGGGAGAAGGGAGAGGAAGACCTGGGGAGCAAAACCTTCCCAAAGGCAGGCAGGCTCCCTTGCAGCATAGCTCCCCCATGCTTGAGCCCTGACCGACTCACGCCGCTGCGTCCCGACAGCAGGGCTGTGGTGCAAGGAGCCGGCACAGGAAGCGCAGTCCTGAGCCTGGCTCTGCCCTGCAGGCTCGGGTCCAGCGTTTTACCTCTCGCTGCCTCCGCACGGGCCTGGTCCAAGAGCCCTTTGCCCGACGTGCGCTGGATAAAGCCGGTACCCGAGGAGACCCCAAGTGACAACTGCGCTGGATGACACCACCCCTCAGGGGAGGGGGAGGCGGGGAACTGCGCTTGCATTAGGAGGGTGCTGTCAAGCTCGTTCCCTTAATGAAGACCCAAGAGAGGGGTTGGAGCAGGGCCACTTCTCTCTCCCGGACAAGCAGGCCATTTAAATTACAAAGATAAAGTCACCAGTAATTAGTGCCAGTGAGACATGGGAGCTGGGGGCTGACAACGGGCAGTTGTGAGCTACTTTCCTGACAGCCGAGACAAGAGACCCTGCAGAGACAAAGCACCCGAGGGAAAGAGCCCCTGTGCATGCTCGCTCACCAGGGAGAGAAAACCCAGGAGCTCAGACAGGTTTCACCAGTGCCGCTGGCACCCTCAAATGCAGGGGAGGCACGTGCACGGCACGTGTGCTGCATGTGCATTGCGTGCACGTGGTGTGTGCATTGCATGTGCATGTGGTGTGTGAATTGCACGTGCGTGGCATGTGCACACAGAGGGCGGTGAATGAGTGCGTGTGTACAGTGCGATCCAGCCCTGGGTAAGGCTGTCACGCCACAGGGAAGGATCCCCAATGAGTGAACCCCCCTCCCTCTTGCTACCGAGGGCCCTGGGGTTTGGGGTCTGGTCTCCGGGTTCGGGAGGGGGCCCGGGCTCCCAGATTTTCCAGAGTGCAACGTAAGGTGCTCTTGGTTTTGCAGATCTGGTGCTGGAAACATGCGACCTGCAGCCCGAGAGCAACGGGGTGATGCACAGGACGGAGGAGATGGGTAGCCAGCGGCTCGTGGTGAGGAGGGGCCAGCCCTTCACCATCATGCTGCACTTCGCGGGGCGGGGGTATGAGGACGGCGTGGACACACTTGCCCTCAATGTGCAAACAGGTAAGCCTGGAGTTGCTTGCTGTGGCAGCGAGCCATTTCCCCCCATGCTGTGGGCAGGGACCAGAGGTACAGATAAGCCTCAAAGCAGCAGCCCTCACATCTCTGTTCGGGAAGCCGAACAGCTGCTTCACCCTCCACGCCTGCTGGTTTTTACAAGCCACAAAGTCAATCCACAGCCTGGGGCCAAAACTACTTTCCCTTTGGCCTGCGTTGGTGCGAAGCCGTGGAAGACCCTCCCTGCCTGGGTCGGGATTCTGTCACGTCCCCAATTAAAGCCGATCCCAAGGTCTCAGCTGCTTTTCTCGGGGTCCTGGGGAGGAGAAGCATGGAGGCAGAGACTCTCCCTCATCACAACCCTTGGAAAATAAGCAAAGGGAGGAAAGGGGAGGTCAAGGAGGAGAGAAAAACAAGCCCGAGGTGTTTATCTGCTCGAGTTTCCCGCTAGCTGCCCCCTGCCAGCAACGTGCACTCGTTGTCCAGCCATTCGGAGACAAGTCGGGCCGGCGGGGTGGGCAGGCTCCACATCTGCCTGCTGTTTGCCTTGAAATGCTTGGTCGGGAGCTGTGAAACCTGCCCGGGCTTCAGGCATCCCAAAACTCCCACCCGTCACCTCTGCGGCCAAGCTGCGAGTTACCATAATTGGAAAAACACACGCGTGCTGCCACTGCCACTAATAATAACAACAGCCCGTCAGCCAGAAGACGTCTCACCCGGCAGCCAGGAAGAGCCTCTTCCAGAAGCCTTCCCCGTGGCGCGGCGCGAGGGATGCCAGCACAACGGCGACAGCAATCACGTAGAGGTGAGGAAGCCGAGTCCCTCACTGCAAAGATAAGGCGAAGCTGGAGTGACCTCTGCGGAAAGGAGCCGTTCCCAGACTTCATAAATCCAGAGCACCTTTTGCTTACGTATCTCAGGCGCGTAATAAAGGTCAGCGAATCGAGCCTCGTGTCGCTGCCATGCCGGAGGCCTGGGCTGTTATGCTGCTCTGCGGACAGCAGAGCTGGGGCCTGCAAGGGAGGGACCGCGAGCTGCCCGCGGGCGCAGCCTGAGTCCGTAGCACAGTCAGGAATAGCGACTGGGGCTCCCAAGTCCTGGCTGCACACTTGGCCACAAGGCCCTGGGTCCAGGCCTCCTGGTTTTGCTCCTGCCAGCCGAGTTAAATCCATGCAACTTGTGGCTGGTGAGTCTCGTAATGGGGTTTGAAAAGCAGTTATACCTGCCTTAGCTTTGCCCAGCTAGGAATTGGGAGCCCTGGTCCCTATTCCTGACTCTGCTACAGACTCGCGCAGTGCCCTGGGGCAGCTCACGTCACCTCCCTCTCAGGCCTCGGCTCTGCTATCTGCAAAGCAGCTATGGCACGCTACAGTCGCGCTCCTCGGGATGGTAGGTAGATGCACCCATGCACGCCTGCACACCGTGGAGACGGGTACGGCGCATGCAGGGAGCCCGCAGCACCGGCTGGCCACGCCGCACCCGACGGCATTTCCGAGGCTGCAGCAGGCCATGTGGACTTACAGCATCTAGACAAGCATTACGGCTTCACCCCCTGCTTGAAGACCCCAGATATTTTGGACGCGGCCCCTTCCTTTCTTTGTAAGCTGGGCCGTTCCGGACCCGAGATCAAGGGGAGAAACGTGCTCGGACCTTGACCAGCGTGTTATCTCGACCCGTCAGAAACCTGCTTTCTGCCAAGGAGCAGCAAGGAAGGGGCAGGGAACAATACAAGGAAGCTTGCGACCAGGTCAACATCCTCCTTCGACCTGGAAGCATCTCAGCTGCGTGGACCAGATACGGTCATGCTGCGCTGACCTCCCCAGAGAGGGCCCGGCAGGGAGCTCTTGGGACTTAGTCATGAGCTGCGGGGCCGATGACAAAGCCCTCGGCAGCCTTCCTGTCCCCAGCCCAGCTCCTGCCACCTTCAAAGGGAGAGTGATTTTCCCACAGAGGGGCTGTGCCTGGCTCAGGTCCCCCCGAGGACAGTGGGAGGCAGCCCCCGCCCCCCCGCACCGGTTCTGCAAATAGCACCGCCGCATTCGCAAGATGGTCCTTTGAAAGCTGGTGCAGAGGGCGCCTGCTCGTCATTCCCGCTGCGCAGAGGCCAAAAGCCATTACCGAGTGCCAGATGTTCAGCATCTGGGTGTGCTGAGCCATAGCCCAGCTGTCCATGCCCAGGCCAGCCCACACCACCTGCTTCGCTCGCTGTCGGGCAGAGATGGCTGAAGAAGTCGAGACCAGGGGACGGTCTGGGGGGGGGGTTGCGCTAGTCCTTGCCTAGCAAGGGTGCACGCCCTGGCACTCGCGGCAGCTCCTGAAGCATCCCGGTGCTGTACAGCCCTCGTGTTTTACGAGGCACCCGCAGACCGCCTGCCACAGCACCAAACCACACGGCCCGCAGCCCGGCCGTTCCCAGCTCTCACCTCAGAAACCACCGATCCATCCCCCTCCCGCCCCGCAGCCCCGTCTGCTAAGGTCTCGGGAACCGCACGCGGTGCAACGCCACGCTCGCTGCCCGAGCCCCCCTGCCCCGCAGGGCACAGAGATGCCGTAGCCCCTGGCCCATCTCCATCTGCTTCGACCTCCGAGCGCTGCTTCTCCTGAACGGGCCCAGAGCAGTACAGCGGACATAAGGCCCCAGGGAAGTGCAGCTGTCCCTGGGTCGGCACCGTGGGCTGAGGACGCAGGGTGGAGGGAAGTGCCAGGAGCTCTCTGAAGCCGGCACAGAGAGCACGCAGGCTGCCCGCCCCCAGGCAGGGCTTGCACAGACCTTGGCTCACCCAGCCAGCCGAAACAGCCCTGCCCTGCGGAGAAGGGGCTTGACTGAAGCGTAAACATGCAGGGGATATTTTTAAGGCAGAGCTGTTTGCACGATGCCAGCTGGTGCGGCCTGTGGAAAGGTCCCAGAGCCGCCCTGCCCGGCGGTTGTGCTGGACGAGGAGCCTTCGGGGGGAGGAGCGGGAGGACACGCTGTCCCCGCCGGGTGGGGGTCCCTGGAGAGATGAGTAATTGCCCGGGCTGCGGCTCCACCTCTGCACTCGGGGCTCGGCGCTGCTCCCAAACAAGCGAGGCCGGCTCGCCCCGGCATCCCAGGCAGAGCCAGGGGAGCAGCTGTGTCACTGGGTGTATTTTTGGCCTGGATGCTCTCATCGCCTCCAGGGCTGGAGCCTGGGCACAGCCCCAGGGTAGCACAGAGCTCCCAGTGTGGGAGGAGGCTCGCCCAGCCCTGCCCCGAGGGCCCTGCCAGCATCGCGGCCGCCGGGCACAGGGCAGAGCCAGAGCTGGGAGGAAGGCTGCACAGGGCAGCTCTGTCCCGGGCCCGGGAGGAGCCGCACGTGGGATCCGGCGTGTTTGCAACCCAGCACCTTGCTGCTGCGGGCAGGGATGGGAGTGAAAGGAGGGCTCTGTCCTGCACAGCCACTGCTGGCGGCCTGCCTGGCCAAGCTCTGATGCCGGGGCAGCCTCTGACCCTGCTCCGAGCGAGAGGCCTCGAGGGCCCGGCCAGCCCTGCTCTCCTGTTTCTGATTGCAAAAGGTCTGGCATGAGGCTCTGGTGCAGCTGAGCTTGCAAAGGAGACTGGGCCCTCCTGTTTCATGGTGCCCTGACCAGACGTTGGGCTGCTTCCCGCTCTCCCGCCCCGCGGGCACCAGCTGGCATTAGGCTATTGCATTGCCCTCTGGCCCCTAGCTGGGCTTCAGCTGTCTGGGTCTCCAGACAGGCACTGGCGCCCAAGGAGAAGGACTGGGCAATGCTCCGACTCTGCTGGACTCTCCAGTGTCCCATAAATTGGGGTGGAAAAACAAAGGCAAGCTGCCAACAAAATGATGCCCAGCCCCATTCATGGGCCTGAAGGTGCCCCAGCCTCAGTTGCCCAGCTCCCCAGGGACACGCCAGCAGTGCCCGTGGGGAGGAGGACGTGCCAGCCCCAGCAGCGGCAGCCCTGGGGCACTGCTCACACGTGTTTTGCATCACGTCAGTGGCTCATTAGGGACCCGTTGTGCTCTCCCAACCCATCAGTCTTTTATCAGCGGCTCCTTGCTGGGAGCCAACCTCTGTGCAGAAGCAGGGCAACAGCTGCAGCCCCCCACCACGGGCTCTGGGTCTAGCCCAGCATGTTCAAGGTTAACCCCTATTTCTCCCCGCCCTAAAGGGCCTTGGCCCCAGGACCCCATAGCTGCTTACGCCACGATGCACGGACAGGACCCCCCGGCTGCAGGAGAGGGGTGCAGCAATGCAGGCCACCCTCTCCTCCACTCCAGAGAGGCCAAGGGGCCGGGGCAGCAGAGCAGCCAGTCAACGGCAGTGCCGGGCTGACCAGGAGACCCCAGTACAGCTGCCCCTTCCCCTCCAGAGTGAACACCATGCAAATGGGGATGGGTTTAGCAGGGCCCCGGCGCACCCCAGGGCTGGTGTCACGATGGGTCAGGACAGGGACGCCAGAGCACCACGTGCCCCGAGGCTGGGGGCAAGAGGCAGGGGCACGTGGCGCTAACAGATCCATTGCCTTTGCTAGGACCGTGCCCCACGGAGACCGGGGGAACCCGGAGCCACTTCCCCGTCTCCAGCTGCCTGCAGGCGTCGGCGTGGAGCGCGGCAGTGCAGCAGCAGGACGGCACGGCTCTCTCCTTGTCCCTCTGCTCTCCACCCGACGCTCGCATCGGCCTCTACACCCTGACCATGGAGGCCTCCACCGGCTACCAAGGCACCAGCTTCCGGCTGGGCGAGTTCATCCTGCTCTTCAACCCGTGGTGTCCAGGTGAGGTTTTCGGTGATGCTTCGAGGCAGTCTCGGGGGGGAGATGGGCCTGATCTGGGTCTCACCCAGCTTCTTGCCGAGGCCAGCTCCCACCAGGACACTGGTGCCCTGAGATAAGTGCAGACCGAGGTGAGCGTCGGCTTGCAGCACAGTCCAAAGAGCATCGGCCCACAGCCCCTTTGCCCCCACCTTCCAGCCCCCACTGCCCCGAAGGAGGAAGCAACACCGAACTTTCTCTGGCCAGGGCCAGGCTTGCAACCAGACAGGGGGCTTGCTGTGTCTTTGTCCGTCTCCCCCATGGGTACGACGTGTGCTCCTGCCACCTCCCATTGAGCTCTGGCACGCCCGTGCAACACGGCCAGCTTCCCAGGCCAGTCTGTAGAGATACCGGCGGTGGGCAGCTTCCCCTGGCTGCAGCCCGATGCACGCCAGAGCTTGCGGCAGTGGCTCGCCAACACATTTGCAGGGAACAATAGCTTTTTGGGCGATGCCAGAAGCGAGCAGGCGCTTTTGTATTGCTCCAAACCATTCGAAGGCTGTTGAATAACCTCACCGGTCAGCCCACCAAGGTCCCTGTGCTCTCCCCCCCCGCAGAGGACACCGTCTATCTGGAGGATGAAGACCAGCGCACCGAGTACGTGCTGACGCAGCAGGGCCTCATCTATCAGGGCTCAAACGACTTCATTGTCCCCACACCCTGGAACTTCGGGCAGGTGAGTCTCCGGCTCCGAGCCCCTGCGCTGAGTTATGGCCCCCGGGGCCCAGTCTGCGCCCTTGCCCGCTCCCAGGGCTCCTCCCGGCCCATCACAGCTGGGCAGTGGCATGCAGGGATCACGCATGATATACACACAATGTTAAATGCTCTTGGGAGACCAGAGTCCGGCCCTGCAAAGAGCAGTGCTAGATAACCCCACGCCTCCTCCCCGCTCGGTGTCCAGCATGACCGCCTGCATCCTCCGATAACGGCCAGCGAGGCTGCAGAGGAAGTCTCGCTCGGCCGGGCTGCAGAGGCAGACAAATTACACCCTCGTTATGGACAGGGAAAATGCTGACTGCAGGACCCAGGAGAAGCGCAGAGGGGACGCGGGCCCATAAATCATTACGCAGAGGCCTGGGGGGGTTCGGGGCGGGCAGGACTAATGGCAGCAGAAACACGCTGTCCGGAAACATGGCGAGGCCCTCGCTCAATAGCCGGCCGCGTGGGCTGATACGGGCTGAGCCTGAGCCCCTGCGTACGCGGGCGGGAGCGCGGCGCACCTGTGTGGACGATGCCCTCGTCCCCAGCAGGGTCCGGCTCCCAGTCCTACATCCCACAGCCCGCGGTTTCCTCCAGGCACGGTGCTGAGAGGGGCCGAGCAACCGGCAGGTCCCAGCGCGGCGGGTGGGAGCTGCGGTGTCTGCCCACCCTTCCCCAAGCCGGGGCTCAGCGCGGGATGGTCCCGCTCGGCCCCATCCCAGGCTCCTGGCTGCCCTCCTTGCCCAGAGGTGCCTGGGGGGACCTGGGGCTCTGTCCCAGGCAGCTGCATCTCCCCCAGCACCGGGGGAGACAAGCCGCTTGGTTCCCAAGGGGTTTGCACCCTGCTCGGGGCGATTCCCCCATGCCTCTGAGCTCCCTGCACAGCGGGAAACCCAGCCCCGCCAGCGCCAAGGGCAGGCGGCCCCGCTCTTCAGTAGGGCATGCTGAGGCTTGAAGTCTGGGCGTGCACCAGCTCCTTATCTGCACAGCACACACGGGCAGGCTCCCTGCCTCCCCCCGCCCCCTCGTGCATGCTCCAGGCCTGCAGATAAAGCCTCCCTGAAATGCCAGGATGGCACCATTGCAAAGCCACTGCCTCAGGGGCACTTCCTGCTGGCTCCCTGTGCCCCGGGTCAGCAAGCAGGGACTGGCCAAGGCGTTGGACTATACCCCGCTTCTGGACTCAGGAGGTCGGGGTCTGTCCCCCTGTTTGACGAAGGGGGAAAGCCGAGGGGCGGCGAATGCCCAAGAAGCACTAGCGCCAGCTGCCCCTCGCTGGCGCCAGGGTCTGGCTCCCACATGCCTGGGCCTGCGTGGGTGCAGGGGTCTGCCATGGGCGTGCTGGCGGGAGGATCGATGTTTCCTCGGGGACAGTACGAGGGAAGAGAGGCAGGGGGCCAGCGTCCGGCTCCGATGTCTCGTGCCCCCAGGACACGGCTCATTCAGCCCTGGTGGGTTCCCTGCGCTGCACCCGCTCCGCTGGCTTAACAGCTCTTTCCCCTCTTCTCCCACCCTTCCTCCGTCGGTGCCAGTTTGAGGACAACATGGTGGAAACGTGCCTCCTGCTGCTGGACACGAACCCCAAGTTCTTCCGGGACCAGAACCGGGACTGCTCCCGCCGCAACTGCCCTGTCTACATCGGCAGGGTCGTAAGCGCCATGGTGAGTCCCGGGAGCATCCCAAGAGCCCCTGGCCCATTGCTTCTGTCCTTCCCAGATCATCTGTGTGCAGCCTTTTCTCTGTTCATCTGACTGCACGGCCAGGGCCCAGGTATACCCTGGACGCCGCTACACAGGAGCACTTGCCACTCCCAGGGTGCATGCGGCACACAGGGCCAGCCACGATAACCACCCTCCCGCCCCATCAACTACCTCCTTAGCAAGCTGGTGCTCCACGGACACGTGCACCCAGTGCGAGCGCAGCCCCGGGACGCCCAGCCCATCCGCGCTCCTCACTGGGGACCCTCCCGACTGTGTTGCAGGTGAACTGCAACGACGACCGGGGGGTGCTGGCGGGGCGCTGGGACAACAAGTACAGCGACGGGGTGAGCCCCATGTCCTGGATAGGCAGCGTGGACATCCTGCGGAGATGGAGCAAGTTCGGCTGCCAGCCCGTCAGATACGGCCAGTGCTGGGTCTTCGCTGCGGTGGCTTGTACAGGTGAGGAGCTGCAGGCTGGCCCCGTTGCCCTCTTCTTCGCTGGGCTGGGGAGCTCAGACTCCCCGCCGGTTGTGACTCTGAGCCAGCTCACGTTGGTGCAAGACAGGAGTGATTTTAATTGTCCGTGCGGCAGCACAGGGGAGGGCTGGGTTGCACCCCGTGCCCCCCGGGCCCGCAGGCTTGGCAGGTGCCGTGCCACGCCGTGCCTCACCTCTCCCCGCTCTTGCTTCCTCCCCAGTCCTGAGGTGCCTGGGGATTCCCACGCGCGTGGTGACCAACTACAACTCTGCCCACGACACCAACCAGAACCTGGTCATCGACCGCTACCTGGACGAGAGAGGCAGCCTGCAGCAAGGATCCAAGGACATGATATGGTGGGCAGGCAGGGGCGCCGCGGGGAGGCTCCCCCGGCAAATGGCCCAGCCCAGCCCACCCACTCTCCCTTTCCCCTTTCCTTTCCTCCCAGGAATTTCCACTGCTGGGTGGAGTCGTGGATGGCCCGTCCCGACCTCTCCGCTGGCTATGACGGATGGCAGGCGCTGGACCCCACTCCGCAGGAGAAGAGCGAAGGTCGGGAGGAAAGGGATGCCCATGTCTGACCCCCCGACCCCTGCTTCTTGCACACGCAAGGGCCTGCCACACCCCCGCTTGCACGGACTGCGCAGGCCACACGCGCGGCGATAACCCAGCCCTCTTCCACAGGGGTTTACTGCTGCGGCCCCTCGCCCGTCAGAGCCATCAAGGAAGGCGACCTGGCCCTGAAGTACGACATCCCGTTCGTCTTTGCGGAGGTCAACGCGGACCTGGTCTACTGGATCCTGCAGAGCGACGGCTCCCGGAAGAAGACCGTCCACCCCTCCATCGTGGGGAAGAGCATCAGCACCAAGGGCGTGGGCCGAGACAGCAGGGAGGACATCACCCACCACTACAAGTACCCCGAGGGTAGGCCCTGCAGACGCGGGGAGGGCTGGGGCGGGGGCAGCTCCAGGGGGGAATGGGTGGCGATAGGAAAGGCAGAGCTGTGCTGGAGGGCAAACGAGGGAGGCTGGGGAAGGACGCGCGGGGCTGGTCCGCCCGCAGACCTCGCGCAGAGGCTGGCCGTGGGGTAAAGGGCAAAGACGTGACCCCGCAGGTCCCTGCCAGCCCCATGGCTCTGGTAATAACCGTGGTCTTTTGGGGCCGTGCAGGCTCTGACAAGGAACGGGAAGTGTTCTCCAAAGCCAAACGCCAGAAGAGGCCGGTGCCGCAGGAGGAGACAGGCGTGACCATGAGGATCAAGGTGCCCCAGGGCGCCAACAACGGCTGCGACTTCGACGTCGTCGCCGCCATCCACAACGACACCGATGCCGAGCGGCTGTGCCGCCTCATGTTCTGCGCCCGCGTCGCCAGCTACAACGGAAACGTGGGCCCCGAGTGCGGCATGAAGGATCTGCTCAACGTCACGCTGCCGCCCCGTGGAGGTAAGGGACCGTCGCCGGGGGCAAGGGTCCGGCTTCACGGGCGCCCGCCTGGCGCGGCCCAGCAGGGCAAAGGCTCTCTCCGCTCCCTGGAGCGTCTGGGGTCCAGCCGGGGCCGGCACAACGGCTGGCGAGAGCTGAGGTTTGGGGCCTCCGTAGCTGCAAAGGGCTGCCAAACTCCCCACCTCTGCACGGCTCCGACAGCCACGTCTGAGGCAGCAGGAAGGAGCTGGAGGCTTTTTTGTCCATTAGGCAGTGACGTGGCACTGCGCAGCCTGTGCTGCTGATGCACAGGGTTTGAAGGCAGCGCACGGCGTGGTGCGCATGCTCTGGTGGCTCATCACCCTGGATCTGGGAACTGGAGACGGTTTCGTTCCTCTCCATACTGTTTCCTAAATCCCTGCGTGCACTCCCTGCCTGTTGGGACCTTTGGTGCATGGGCACTGTGGCCAGAGCTATGCTCAGCCCCACGTCCGCGCAGAGCTGTCCGGATGGCTTTCCCCACTCCCCGGCACGCGCGCGCTCCCCAACCGGCCTGGCAGTGCAAGCCTGTCAGCACACCCCAAAGGCCAAACCTGCCCGGCAGAGCAGGGACGAGCGACAGCTGCTGCGTCCAGGGAGGACGAGACCCTCACAGCCAGATCTCAGCACGCTGGCACCCTGTTGCCCAAAGGGTCTTGTGCCAGCTGCCGCATGCATGTGGAAACCTTTGTGAGCACGGTCGTTTGGCCATGCAAATGAAGCCTGTGTGCACAAACACACAGCCCTGTGCAAATCCTGCATGCATGCGTGAAGTTTTACCTTTGCTTGTGCAAGCCTGGAGATGAGTGCTGGCGACTGGGGCCAGCACGGCATTGCCTGGCTTGCCTAGACTTACACAAACCTCATCCATGCTAGTGAAAGCCCAACACCAGGATGGTGCTAGTGCCGATTCCCCCTGTGAACCGAGCCGGGGCCATTTTCTGGCTCTTTGTTGGCTCGTGCCACTGCCTTGCTTGTGCCCGGATGTTTTCTTTTGTGTAGCTTGGACACGCGGCCACCCCCCAGGCGACCCAGCGTAGCCAGCTCAGGCTGACCCAGCTGGACATGTGGTCTTGCTGTATAAGCCCCCGCTCTTGTGCTGAGTGCCCGTGCTGCAAGCATGCGCCCCAACTCTGAAGGGTTAGTGTTTGAGAAGCCACATCCCTCTCCGCTGGTTAGGGCCCCACCAGTATTTTTCCACTTGTTTATTGACTGTAGGGGGTTTGCTTAAGGGCTGATGAAAGGATAAAGAGCGTTATCAGGTGGGGGGCAGGAAACAGTCTGAGATGAGGAAAAGCAGCTGTTTGAGCTCGCTCGTCATGGAGCCAAGGCACGGGGCTTAGCACCACGGCCTCATGCTCCCTCTGTCTTGGTCTCTATCTCACCCCGCTCCCTCCCAAAAGATGCCGGTATCTCCCTGTTTTGTTCTCTCCCCAGTGGAAACTCAGACATGGGCAACCTCTTTATTGGCCTGGCCAGGAAAAAGGTTTTCCCCAAGCCATGCACACATGGGGGAGGCAGGATCAGTGCATCTGGGGCTTGCCATCTTCATGCCTTGACTACAGCTGCACCAAGCAGAGCCCCGTGGGCTGGGGGCGACGCTCCTCAATGGGGCTGCAGCAAAGTGAAGGGGCCGTGTCTCTGCCACAGTTGTGCTACAGGTTCAGGTCCTGCCATGACCCACCCCCGCCTGGTGCCAGGGCATGGCTGTTCGTCCTTCCCCGCAGCCCCTTTGGGCCACAGGAGACCAGCTGCCCTGACTTGTGGCTCCTGCATGGCAAGCGAGGACAGGAGCGGGTTAACTGGGTACTGAAAAAACCCACCTCCATGCCTGTAGTTAATTAATTTGTGCTTTTGCTGTTCAAAGGGCACAGCTGCCCTGTGCTTGGGATAACGCTGCCGGCAGCCCCTGTCTGGACTGTGCGGCCCTGGCCCCTGGCTCGCTTTCCTTCCCCGACCCTCTCCTCGAGAGGTCACTGGAAAGAGATTTTGTCTTTTTAAATTGGCTGGTTTATATCATTTTTGTACAGACCCTTCAGGGCTTTAAATGTGCCAGATACCAGAGTGGCAGACCCAGCCAGGCAGCTAATCTGTTCTCCCGTCTCCTGCAGAGGCCAAGGCCAGCTGCAATAACAGAGACGCGTGGAGGAGTCGGGCTGGAAGGGGCCTTCAGAGGTCACTGAGCCCAGCCAGAGGCAGGATCATTGCTGTCCAAACCAGCCTCTGCAATCCCCTTGCCTGAGCTCCTGCCACAGCCGCGGGGCGTGCCGCCCTCGCCGGGCACGGGGGAGACAGCGGTGGCCGATGCCCGGTGCCACCAGGGTTGCTGCAGCTCCCTCTTCTCCATCAGGGATAGAGGCAGAGTGGGGATCCGGCCCCTGCCTCACCGCAGGTTTTGCACCAAGGGTAGAGCATGGGCCAAGGCCTGGGGGCATTTGAACTCTGTTCTTGAGGCCTTCCTGGCCTCGCTAAAGAATAATGCCTTTAAAGTCAGGTATCCAGGTTGCAGCCGTATTGGTCTAGAGGCAAAAGAAATCAGTGACAGAGGTGATATTTTTTATTAGACCAACTAGATTTTTGGAAAAAACTGTCTTCAATTGCCAGCTTTCGGGCACAAACACCTTTCTTCAGGCATAGGAGAAAAGATTGTAAAAGTTCTGGGTAGAAATGAAAGCTCGTATTGCAAAGGAGAGTTCAAGGTGTGGTAAAATCACACGTGTGACATCTTTCCTTCGTGCACTGAAGCAGCCCGCTCAGCCGTTCCCACCGCAGGCGGGTGCCAGCTCGCCCAGGTGCCAGCTCGAGGGCAGGGCAGCGATGCACCTTATAGACTAATGGAGACAGAGACGCACAAGCTTTCCCAGGAAGAGGGCTGTTGCTCCCCAAAGCTTCTGCATCCCTGCCTTCGCCCCACTCCCAGGTGGCCGTCTCTGCGTGCCTCCTCCCAGCCTGCGTCACTCACTTCCCCAGCATCTCTCCCCGCCACGGTTGATCCGGCTCTCATTACACAGGTCACAGTTCGAGCGCCTTCGCACTCGGTGTCTGCGGCCGGGAACAGCGGTTTCTCATGCACATTTAATATTGCTGGCGACAGAGGAGCGGAGCCGTCGGCAGAGAGACGGAGTTTCATTTCTAGGTTTCAGGATAGCAGCGGTGCATGAAATGATCACAGGGCCAGGCTCAGCTGGGGGCGGTTTCCCAGGCCCCGGGGACACTTGGCTTTAGAGACTCAGGAAGCATTGACAGTACAAAAGGACCTTTCCTAGCACAGACGGGGCCTTGCTTCCAGATGCTGCCCCCCCCCGCTCTTGTTCGACAGCCCTCCCGCCCCTGCACGCCCCTTTGATCAGGTGCGAGAGGCTGCAGAACAAGCTGAGATGGATCCTTGATTAATCAAACGACTTTCTGGAATTAATGAGAGCGGGGAAGCGAAGCTTTCTCAGCTCCGTCTCTCCGGCACACGCTCGTTTAGTTGCTGTTTGATGTGGGGGGCTGCTCCGCGCCTGGGAAGAAATCCAATTTCCCTTTGATGCAGGGCGTTCTCATCCTCATCGAGCTTTGTTGCTGCAGCATTTTCGAGACAGCAGAAGCCTTTTAAAAGAATCACCCTGCGCTCACCTAGCTGCATTAAGCTTGTTCCTCTAAAAGGCCCCTGTCTTGAGATGCAATTGGGAAAAGATGTACAGCCGAGGTCCTGCCACACTGCGGTCTTTAAAGAGCCTGTCACACTGCTCCTTGGGCTCTACTGAACAGCAGCCTAACTAAACCTGCCCACTTTGCTCGCTGGCGCTTTCCAGGGTACAGATGATTACACCAGATTAAAGGGGCAACAAGGCAGCTTCTGTCTGCAAAGGGCTCTGAGGTCTTGCAGGAGAGGGACCTTAAGGCAAGCGGTTTCCTACAGCAGGACCCACCACCCCCATGTAAACCACCCCAGCCCTGCCTGACCGGGGGTATCTGACAGTCCTTCCCTGGGAATCTGCTCCTTGGGGGGACATCTATGCCCTGCCCCGGTGCATCACTCTTCTCTTGCTGAGGCCTGGCCAGGGCCGAACCGGGGTAGCGCCAGTGCAGCCAGACGAGCTCCCAGTCTGCAGCACCTGGGTCACAGGGCTGGAAAACGCCGGTAGCCGAGGCGGGTAACAGCTACACAGGGCCCCGTTTATCAGAGAAGTGTAGACACGTGTGGGGCCTGCGTGTCAACATGGGCCCAGGATGGCCCACGGTTGCAATCACCGCCGTTGCCCCTGGGCACAGCAGGATCAGGGCCGCAGTCAGTCCCCATGCAGCACCGCGCGGGCAGAGGGAGAGGAGCTCATCCCGGCCCCTCGCCTCGTTTGCCTTTGCAGACAAAGTGGTGCCGCTGCGCGTCCTGTATGAGAAGTACGGCCACTGCCTGACCCAGGACAACATGGTCAAAGTGGTGGCGCTGCTGGTCGAGTACCAGACCCAGGAGCACACCGTGGCCATGCGAGACGTCTACGTCAAGAACCCGGACATCAAGATCAGGGTAAGGCGCTGGCAACGTGGCCAGGCACAGCCCCGGGCTGAGGGCAAAGCCAGCAGAGCCCAACACCTCCCAGGGCCCGAATCCAGCCCCCCTCCCCCGGGCCTATGCAAGGCAAGGACTTCACCCTGCAGAGGAGGGGCAGGGAGGAGAGGGGCTGGGTGCAGCCAAGGCAGATGTAGGGGGTGGGGGGGGCTGTCTGCAAGACCCTGCTTGCTGCGCCTGACCAAGACCCTGCCCTCTGCGTGTCCAGATACTGGGGGAGCCCAAGCAGAAGCGGAAGCTGGTGGCCGAGATCGCGCTGACCAACCCACTGGCGACACCGCTCAACGGCTGCTCGTTCATCGTGGAGGGCAGCGGCCTCACTCAGGGCCAGAAGATCCAGGAGCTGTAGGTGCCCTCGCTGCTGCCTTGGGGGTCCCAAGTCTGAGGACGCCATGGTGACACTGGGGGGAGGAAGGGAGGAAGGAAGCTCCTGGCTGCCCCCAGCCTTGGGCAAGGACACAGGCTGGGTGCACCCGAGCAGTGTGCACGGCCCCTGCCTCCATGCCAGGAGCTGGGGAAGGTGCCAGAGCCACGCACTGGGAGCGGGGCCCTGGGCTGATCCTGCCTCCCCTTTTCTCCCTGCAGCGACTGCCCCATGGAGCCTGGGCAGGAGGCGAAGGTGCGGGTGGACCTGATGCCCCGGCAGGCTGGCCTGCGCAAACTGGTGGTGGATTTCGAGAGCGACAAGCTGAAGGGGGTGAAGGGTTTCCGCAACGTCATCATCGCCCCCCTGCCCAAGTAAGGCCCCCGTGGGCCCGACCTCCTCCGCCCTCCGTGAGATGCTCCTGCCCTGCGTGAGCCCCTGCCTCGGATGGGACGCCCCAGCCCACTGGCCTGGGTCCTGCGACCAGGTCCCGCAGCCAGCTGCAAAGGCAGCGACCCGCCAGCTTGTGCCCACGGTTACGTCTGGGGGGCAGGGGAGGGAGCAGGGGAGCCAGTGGGCCCTGAAGCCTGCCCACCAGGCTTGGGGCTGTCCTTTGCATTCATGCCCTTGCCAGTGCCCTGTGTGCTGCTGCCAGAGCGTGTGCAAGGCTTGAGGCACGGCTTTGTGCATCACGGCTCTCCTTGCCTGGAGATGCCTGGCCCCCAGACCCTGCCCACGATCCCTGACCCGCGCCCCTCTGGGGAAGAGTCACTAGTGCAAATGTGCAAAGGCACAGGAGATCGCCTCCGTCTCCGACACTCTTGAGTTCGTCCACAAGACAGGCCCCTTCCAGGTGGTCCCATGCCCAGGGGAAGTCACCAGGGAAGTCACTGGGGAAAAAGCAAGGAAGCAAACAGAGTGGGCAGCAGGCATGAGGCCAGTGAGCCAGACAGGCCTGGAGTGTCCCCAAGGTCTGGCCTGGGGCTCCCAGTCTCTGGGACGGTCACTGGGACATCAGGACACAGTCCCCGGTGCGCGTGGGTCCGTGCAATGTGGCCACTGCGTCCCTTGTCAGTGAAAGGGTTAAACGAGTCATGGTGCTACCTGGGCCCTGGACATCATCCAGGCTGGAGGTGCATGAACCTCCCTCCCCTCCCTGGACTTCCCCAGCAGCAGCACCCAGAGCTTGCAAGGGAAAACCAGGAGGCATCTGAACAGGCCTGGGAAAGTCACGGTCTCTGACCCCAGCCCAAACGCTGCCCTGAGCTGGGAGCTAAGCAGCGGCGAGGCTACAGCTGGTCCCAGGCCCCACTGCCAAGAGCATTTCTGAGCCCCGCTAGGCAGAGCAAGGCTTTGCAACGCGCTTCCGTGTGCTACCCGGACGCTGAGCACTACCCCAGCAGAGCCCAGGCAGGGGCTCACTTCTCCCTTTCCACTAATACTGTGCTGTGAGGAACTGAATAAAGAGGATATTTTCCACCTGTCCCAGCCACCTGCGGTGGGTTTAGATTGAGAGTGTGGTCGGGGGTAGAAAGGTAAGAAAGATTTATTGACTTAAAAAAAACCACAGCTACGCATAGTAACAAGACAAACGATGACAGACAAAAGCAATTTGCGGCAGCAACTTATCGGCAGTCCCTCTGATGCCTGATACACAGCAAGCTACTCTTTCCACGAAGTTCAGCAAGGTCAGGCGTCCCCGAGCAACGCTGTCTGAGGGGTGCCGGGAAGGACCCTGGAATGCAATTCTTGGGCTCCTCGAGGTCCACGGGCCCACTGATCCAGGCAACAGCTAACTAATCCTTTTCACAGAGCTGCATCTTCCTTCTGAATGGTTTCCAAATATTTTAGCTAATTTATAGCTTCTGAAGGACACTGATAACGTACGACCACTTAGATTCCTTTTTCTTCAACTGTTCATAGACTGACCAATAGCAATACAAGCCTTGCATTCCTTTGATAAAGGTAATTTTAACTGCGCCACAGGGCCTTACTACTTGCAGGCTTTGCTAAATTTACTAGGCCTTACTTTATACAAGGCCTCACTACATCTTAAACTGTAATTAGGCTTTTAGCAACAACTTATAGCTTAATATCTAAACAAATACAGAAAAACACTTGGTCTATTTTTTTTTGAGCCTTCA